ATCTGAGAGAGTTAGAGCTCAGGAAGGGGTAGCAATAATTTTGAAGGATCAGTTATGGAAGGAGAAGAGGGAATATAAATGCCTAAATTCAAGGATTATGTTCACTAAAATAAGAGTTGGCTGCGAAAAGTGGGTCATAATAAGCGTGTATGCACCTGGAGAAGAGAGGAATGCAGAGGAGAGAGAGAGATTTTGGGAGATGTTAAGTGAATGTATAGGAGCCTTTGAACCAAGTGAGAGAGTAATTGTGGTAGGGGACCTGAATGCTAAAGTAGGAGAAACTTTTAGAGAGGGTGTGGTAGGTAAGTTTGGGGTGCCAGGTGTAAATGATAATGGGAGCCCTTTGATTGAACTTTGTATAGAAAGGGGTTTAGTTATAGGTAATACATATTTTAAGAAAAAGAGGATAAATAAGTATACAAGATATGATGTAGGGCAAAATAACAGTAGTTTGTTGGACTACGTATTTATAGATAAAAGACTGTTGAGTAGACTTTAGGATATACATGTTTGTAGAGGGGCCACAGATATATCAGATCACTTTTTAGTTTTAGCTACAGTGAGAGTAAAAGGTAGATGGGATACAAGGAAAATAAAAACATCAAGTAAGAGAGAGGTGAAGGTTTATAAACTAAATGAGGAGGCAGTTAAGGTAAGATATAAATAATTGTTGGAGGATGGATAGGCTAGTGAGAGTATAGGCAATGGGTCGAAGATGTATGTGGTAGGTTTAAGAATGTAGTGCTAGAGTGTTCAGCATATGAGAGGTTTTTACAAAGTAGAAGTAATGCAAGGAGGGAAGAGCATATGGAGAGAAAGAGAGTGGTGAAGCAATGTAAAAAGAGAGCAAATGAGAGAGTGGGTGAGATGTTATCAACAAATTTTGTTGAAAATAAGAAAAAGTTTTGGAGAGAGATAACAAGTTGACGAAGCCAAAGGAATAAATGGATTTGTCGGTTAAAAATAGGAGAGGAGAGGCATTAAATGGAGAGGGAAAAAGAGTGAGTGGTGCACTTAGGAGTCTGTGGAGACAAAGAACTTTGTCCTTGGAGGCAAAGAGGGGAATGTATGAGAGTATAGTTTTACCAACGCTCTTATATGGGTGTGAAGCGTGGGTGATGAATGTTGCAGCGAGGAGAAGGCTGGAGGCAGTGGAGATGTCGTGTCTGAGGGCAATGTGTGGTGTGAATATAATGCAGAGAATTCGTAGTTTGGAAGTTAGGAGGAGGTGCGGGATTACCAAAACTGTTGTCCAGAGGGCTGAGGAAGGGTTGTTGAGGTGGTTCGGACATGTAGAGAGAATGGAGCGAAACAGAATGACTTCAAGAGTGTATCAGTCTGTAGTGGAAGGAAGGCGGGGTAGGGGTCGGCCTAGGAAGGGTTGGAGGGAGGGGGTAAAGGAGGTTTTGTGTGCGAGGGGCTTGGCCTTCCAGCAGGCATGCGTGAGCGTGTTTGATAGGAGTGAATGGAGACAAATGGTTTTTAATACTTGACGTGCTGTTGGAGTGTGAGCAAAGTAACATTTATGAAGGGATTCAGGGAAACCGGCAGGCCGGACTTGAGTCCTGGAGATGGGAAGTACAGTGCCTGCACTCTGAAGGAGGGGTGTTAATGTTGCAGTTTAAAAACTGTAGTGTAAAGCACCCTTCTGGCAAGACAGTGATGGAGTGAATGATGGTGAAAGTTTTTCTTTTTCGGGCCACCCTGCCTTGGTGGGAATCGGCCAGTGTGATAATAATAATAAAATAATTAGAGGTATCAGGAAGATGGAGGGAATATTTTGAGGAATTGTGTGATTTCGTGTATTGGGAAAGGAGGAATAACATCTTGTAGGAGTGAGTAAGAGCCAGTTGTGAGTGTGGGGAAAGTTCCTGAGGCAGTGGGTAGAATGAAAAGGTTTAAGGCAGCTGGGATTGATGGGATGAAGATAGAAATATTAAAAGCAGGTGGGGATATAGTTTTGGAGTGATTGGTGCTATTATTTAATAAATGTATGGAAGCGGGTAAGGTACCTAGGGATTGGCAGAGTGCATGCATAGTTCCTTTGTATAAAGGCAAAGAGGACAAAAGAGAGTGCAAGAATTATAGGGGAATAAGTCTCTTGAGTATACCTGGTAAAGTGTATGGTAGATTTATTATTGAAAGAATTAAGAGTAAGACGGAGAGTAGGACAGCAGATGAACAAGGAGGCTTTAGGAAAGGTAACGGGTGTGTAGACCAATGTGGCAGATGTTGCACGTGTATGGTACAGGAGGTAGCTTACTGAAAGCAGTGAAGAGGGTTTTTACTAGGATAGTGAGTTTCTGGTTAGAGTATGTAGGAAAGAGAGAGATTTATTTCCCAGTAAAAGTAGGCCTTAGACAAGGATGTGTGATGTCACCGTGGTTGTTCAATATATTTATAGATGGAGTTGTAAGTGAAGTGAATGCGAGGGTCTTTGCAAGAGGAGTGGAGTTAAAAGATAAAGAATCAAAAACAAAGTGGGAGTTGCCACAGTTGCGTTTTGCTGATGACACGGTGCTCTTGGGAGATTCTGAAGAGAAGTTGCAGAGGTTGGTGGATGAATTTGGTAGGGTATGTAAAAGAAGAAAATTAAAAGTGAATATACGAAAGAGTAAAGTTATGAGGACAACCAAAAGATTAGGTGACCTAAGATTGAAAGTCATATTGGAGGGAGAGAGTATGGAGGAGGTGAATGTATTCAGATATTTGGGAGTGGACGTGTCAGTAGATGGGTCTATGAAAGATGAGGTGAATCATAGAACTGATGAAGGGAAAAGGGTGAGTGGTGCACTTAGGAGTCTGTGGAGACAAAGAACTTTGTCCATGGAAGCAAAGAGGGGAATGTATGAGAGTGTAGTTTTACCAATGCTCTTATATGGGTGTGAAGCATGGGTGATAAATGTTGCAGCAAGGAGAAGGCTGGAGGCAGTGAAGATGTCATGTCTGAGGGCAATGTGTGGTGTGAATATAATGCAGAGAATTCGTAGTTTGGAAGTTAGGAGGAGGTGCGGGATTACCAAAACTGTTGTCCAGAGGGCTGAGGAAGGGGTGTTGAGGTGGTTCGGACATGTAGAGAGAATGGAGCAAAACAGAATGACTTCGAGAGTGTATAAATCTGTAGTGGAGGGAAGGCGGGGTAGGGATCGGCGTAGAAAAGGTTGGAGGGAGGGGGTAAAGGAGGTTTTTTGTGCGAGGGGCTTGGACTTCCAGCAAGAATGCGTGAGCGTATTTGATAGGAGTGAATGGAGACAAATGGTTTTTAGTACTTGACGTGCTGTTGGAGTGTGAGTAAAGTAACATTTATAAAGATTCAGGGAAGCCGGCAGGCCGGACTTGAGTCCTGGAGATGGGAAGTACAGTGCCTGCACTCTGAAGGAGGGGTGTTAATGTTGCAGTTTTATAAACTGTAGCGTAAAGCACCCTTCTGGCAAGACAGTGATGGAGTGAATGATGGTGAAGGTTTTTTTTTTCGGGCCACCCTGCCTTGGTGGGAATCGGCCGATGTGTTAATAAAAAAAAATAAAATTCTATTTCAACTTTCAAAAGAGAGAGCGCTACAGTAGGCTTACGGGGCGCTTGCATTTTTTTGTCTTAGAGATTCGCTTTTGTCACATTCTAGACTCGATACTGACGTTTAAAATTTATGAACAACATTCGGACTAACAATTCTTTAGTGCAAAATTTACTAATTAATGCTAAATAGATTGTATAACGTATATTTTAGAGATATGACCCATTTTTGAGCTGATGTCCAAAACAGAGTTAATGAGTTGTAAAAGAATCTTAAACACGCCTACTGACCATCATTGTCCACCACTGTCTAGGTTCAGAGAATAAGATGCTGCTTATTATTTGATAAAAATATCTAAACAAATAAATAGGTAGATTTTATGTAACGATTCAAAGAGTGTTTATTTCGACTCTAGTAAATTCTTAGTCAGTTCCTCTTTTTTACGAGATAATCAGCTGTGTCTTGCTGCTCTCAATATTTCCAAGTTACGTATAGGGTCTAGTTCAATTGGGTAAACCCTATTTTTTATAAATTTCTTGTTTTTTACACGAGTGATTAAAGAATATTGTAAGAGCTACTTTGGGATTTTCAGTCATGATCGTGTCATCTGTGTGGTCACTGCTTTCTACCAGATGTTTAATTGGAATCCAACTGTTTCTTACCAGAAGTGTCCTGGCCCCTCCACATCACTGGTCGCTACTAGGTCCACACTCTCCCTCCTCCATGACCCTTATGATACCTCTTCTTAATTAAAGATATGTATGGATCCTGCCTCTACTGTAACACCTTCCAAACTGTTCCATTCCACTTCTTGACAACTGTATGACTGAAGAAATACTTCCTAACATCCCTTTGGCTCATCTGAGTTTTCATCTTCCAGTTTGTATCCTTTATTCCATCTCTGAAACATTCTGACCCTGTTTACCTTGTCAGTTCCTCTAAGTATTTTATATGTCGTTATCATATCCTCCCTATCTTCTGTCCTCCAGTGTCGTCAGGTCGATTTCCCTTAATTAACCTCTCATCGTAGGACATTCACCTTAGGACATTCCCCTTAGCTCCGGGTTCGATTCCCGGCGATGGGGTGGAAACGGTGGACATGTTTCCTTACACTGGTTGTCTATATTCCCCCAGCAGTAAAATGGGTACCTGGGTGTTAGTCGAATGGTGTGGGTCGCATCCTGGGACAAAACTGACCTAATTTGTAGGAAATGCTCTGCATAACTAGCACTTTCTCTATTGTAGTATGTCATTGATGTCAGTTAGGCCTGTATACCTTGTACATGTACTTGTAGTAAATAAGATTATTATTATTATTATTATTATTATTATTATTATTATTATTATTATTATTATTATCATTACTGAGGGGTCGAAAAGTTATTCTTAAGGCTGCCAGGCGCCCATATCCGTCTGTGTCCGTCTGTTTGTTGGTTCGTGTGTATGTGTATGTAAGTACCTCTAAATTCACTTAGTGTTTCTTCAGGTTTGAGCTGCTCATCACCCTTCAGTGAGGTTGGAGGACGTTGTATGTATGTTGACTTAGTAAACACTGGCTCCTGGGACACGATGCGTTCCCACTGTAAGAGTATTGGCGGTGACCTGGTTAAGTTGAATGACGCTGAGGTGTTTTCTGCTCTCATCCGTTACATACACGGCAGTGGTACGTTGTGTTAATCAGTGTTTTATTATATAAAACTAATACCAGATTTCGTTAGTAATTGTTAGTCAAATGTTAATTTCTGTTTACCTAATTTTCTATATCACACAAAAGAGAAGATAATCTTTGTTCCACTTGTCACCAGACGTTGGCAACTACCACCTGTGTTTGGGGCTTTTTATTGAGTTTTCTTAAATCATTAGTGAGAGGACTTAAGAATCTTAACACTGACTACGTCAAATTACTTCATCTTGACCCACCTGTCCAGCAGCTCAATATAACATTTATAATGTAATCCACATGTGTTACTGATGGCTGGATGAACATTTTGGTCATAAACATTAATAATGTATTATCATATTAAAAATGCAAAACCTGTATAAGTCTTTCAGAGACTGATAATATGATGTTATTTTCGTTAGAGGTGAAGTGAGCGATAAGTTAGCGTCAAGAGTCACAAGTAACATTTTTTTTTCGTTAAATAAGAACCCAGAGTATAAACCTACTCTGGTCTAGTGGCTAACGCGACGGGCTGGAGTTTTGAGACTCTATGACCGCGGGTTCAATCCCGGCCGGGGGTATGGTTTATTTGCAATCGTGTCATTACGATTTCTTAAGTCAAACCTACTTAGGTTTTTTGACTCTTGGTCACCTTGCTGTAAACTGATACGTGTTAGTCTACTATTGCTAGTCACAGTCTGTGGTGGGGAGTATACCTCAGACTGGGGATGGCTTTGTACAGAGTTGGCGTAAACTAAAACTTTCCCAATAACAAAAATATATGATTACTCTCTTGATAAGAAATGATAGCACGTTCCCCTACAGCAACATGAAGATTCTTTTTTTTTATATATTATTATAAACTTGGGTAAGTAAGACACATGTGCAACAGTTGCATCAGTGCATCTTCTCCAGTCTAGTACAGAAAAGTTTGCAGAGACAGTAGTGATGTGAAGACGATGTAATCAGTCCATTACCCTTAAGACGTAGTTTTGAGGTGGTCAGCCTACTGTGTAGGCGAAACGTTTCGGAATAAAGATCCCTAACTGTTGCACCTGTGTCTTACCAACCTGTCGCTATTTTATACTATTTTAATATCCATTAAAAACTTTATATACATAATACATAGTTATGTCAAAGATAACTAAAATTTCATAATAATGATGACCAATATGGTGCCTCTCTAACAAGTAACGGAGGCACATTTACAATATCACTAAATGCAATCCTAATATCATTTATTCAATACAATATACGCCTTAACACAAAATATACTCAGTTCTAAACTATCCTTCAATTTTATAAACATAGGACTAACAAAAATACAGTTAAGTACTCAGTAGATAATTTGGTCATAACATGTTTGTATAAACATGTTGTGTATAAACATGTTTGTATAAACATGTTATGACCTAATTATCTGGCATTTTAGTTGACGGTGACCTGTACTTGGCTCTGTTAGTGGAGACCTGCACTTTGCTCTGTGAGGACTTGCTTAGTTTACTGTCTGTGGATCTGAACCAAGATGTCTTCCATTGAGAAACTTTACCAGCAGCTTAAGGAGGAGCTTAGGGTGGCTAAGCTTAAGATACGGCGACTGACGGAGGTAAACAAGAGGATTCGTAATAATCCTCCTGTTGTGAGTCCTCAGGTCCGGAGTGGAACCTGGACAGTGGCTGGGCTACATGTAATGAAACTGAGGATAAAGAAGACGAACGGAGTGGCAGAAACAACGAAGAAGCAGAAGAATACTGTGGAAACTTCGAACCCATTTTCTGTGTTACCTGACGAATGTGTGTTGTCTACCTTGTCCTCCAGTGTCGTCAGCTCGATTTCCCTTAACCACCAAGGAAACATTGACAGACAAGGGTAAGTTGACATCTCTTGAAACCCCAGGAAAACCCATTCCAGTGAAGGTCATCCCAACAGAGAAACTCGAGAATGTCACGACAAACTTTGCCAGCGAAGGCAATAACATTGTTTTTATGGTAATGGCTTAATAAAGCTTGTGGAGAGTGAAATATTGCCACAATAAAATGTCACATTAGTTGCACCTGTGTTCTTTTACCTATAACATGGTTTTAGTTAGGGATAGTTAGGTTAAGTTTATGGATAGGACTTTTTGTCTTATAGAGAAGTAGAGGAGGCAGAGGTTGTGTTTTCCAGGACCTGGGATGAAGGACACTGTTAGCCGTCTAGACGACATCATGAAAGGTAATGGGAGAAATCCTTTTATCTGTGTTGGAGGCAACGATGTTGGCAGATGCAGGAGTGAGGACATGAATAGCAGGTACAGGACAGCAATAGACATAATTAGGAAGATGAGAGGGAACCCTGTGATATGTGGTATTTTGCCAAGGAGAGGAGTTGGAAATAAATGGTTGTCCAGGCAATTGGTGTCAATTGCTGGCTGGACAAACACTAAGCAAAATGCTGTAACATTCAGAGACGGCAGATATGACATGTATGCCAGGGATGGGGTTCACTTACCTAGGTTTGGGGTGGGGGACCTGGCCAATGCAGTGTAGAGAGTTGTTAGGTCTTTAAACTAAAACTAGTTAGTAATATGGGTTTTTTTGTGAAAAAGCAATGAATTCTCAGTGTAGCGATACTGTGAGTTTTAGGACACCAGTTATAGGCAGAACGAGGTAGAGTTATTGGTGAATATTGAAAAGCAAGTGGGACTAAGTGATGAGGGCAGTAACTGGGATAGTGGAGAAACGGAAATGAGCAGGAAGACAAAAGAGAAGGGAGGGATTCTAAATTTATGTTATACTAATAGACGAGTTGAGATTAGTTGCAAGTGCAGGTAAGATTGATGTATTTGCCATAACAGAGACGTGGTTTAATATGAAAAATCGGGACACTCCTGCTGAATGTCACATTCACGGTTTCAAATTGTTCATATCCTTACTCTTTAAATTATACCACAATAAAATGTCGCACTAGTTACACTTGTGTCCTTTTACTTAACGTATGTTTTGTGCTTATCAATGGTCTGGTAGATGGAATTATATTAGGCCACTTTTAAAGGCACTCTAGCCTGTTTTTTTTTCTTTCGTAAAAAAAGATTTTGTTTATTCTATTTATTATTTTTTTTTCTGAGAGAGTTTTTTTTCATTACAATCTGCATTGCACGAGTTTTTGATAAAAAGTTATAGAATAAACAATGTAAAAAATAAAATACGTGATATGCATACTGACGAGGTTCATTTTTCCCCGTTCTAGGTTTCCCTACAGCTCATTACTGGATCGGCGCCACAGACGAGGGACATGAAGGAGTGTGGCTGTGGATAGACCAAGAACCTGTACAGATGGGAACACCTTACTGGGCAAACTATGGATGTGACAACAACCAAACGCCAAATGGTGGAACAGCTCAAAATTGTGCACTGCTTGATCATGGTTATCATTTGTATTTCAATGATATTGCATGTAGTGGTATATACAATGTTATCTGTGAAATGTAAGATCTTACAAGACAATTTACTTGTACAGTCGAATGTAACTATATGAATATTTGAGAAGAAATTGTTTATATACATTTAACATCTGTCAAATATTAAAGACTTTAACGAAATTTACTGTATGTATCAATAGCATTTATCCTTACGTATATATTTCTAAAAATATACAATTCTGATATTGCCTCTGTATACTGGCATAACCCATTTACTGTTGATAATATGCAATATGACGTTAATGAAAAAATGAGAATAAAGAAAGGAATTTATGGGCAGAAGAAAGGAATTTATGGGCAGAAGAAAGGAATTTATGGGCAGAAGAAAGGAATTTATGGGCAGAAGAAAGGAATTTATGGGCAGAAGAAAGGAATTTATGGGCAGAAGAAAGGAATTTATGGGCAGAAGAAAGGAATTTATGGGCAGAAGAAAGGAATTTATAGGTGCATCAAAAGAGGTGAGGGTCATCTTGTGAATCAATACAGTGACATTAAGAGGGATGTTAGATAGAGGATAATAAAAGCTAAACGGGATTACGAAATTAAAGTTCCTTGGGATTCGAAAACTAACCCAAAACGTTTTTTCCAGGTTTATAGAACGAAAGTTAGAGATAAGATAGGTTCCCTTAAAAGTAACTCTGGGCATCATACTGACAAGGAGAATGAAATGTGTGCAATTTTTAATAATTATTTTCTCTCGGTTTTTGCACAGGAAGACACTATAATTAATTTTTATTGTGGGCCTGAAGAAGGTAAATCATGTAATATCACAGTCGCTAGTGATATGGTTGTCGAACAGAGAGACCGATTGAAGCAACATAATTTTTTTTTTTTTTATTTAAGGACACAGTATGCAATCTACATGTTGTTATACATAAAACTTAACAAAAAAAGGCTCAACGCTGAGAAAAAAAGAAGCCTAACTAGGAATGACACAGAAGAACCTACACATGAGCATTCCTTAACAACAAAAGCTACAAAACAAAACCTGTTACACTTATGCATATTTTGTATGAAAACTTTATATACAAAACATTAAGTATACACCAAATCATTTCTCATACAATTGTTTTGTATAGTAATATATTACGTACATAGATTCTCGAAAACTAAAACCCCCTGACAATGTTTTCGAGGAGACTAAATCGTACTCCCCACACCCCATATAACCCAAATACACATCATATGGAACTTTGCATACTCTAGAATAAATGATAAATTATAAGAAATTTTTTTTTAAGATGTGTGCCTCCTCCCATCACCCACAAGGTACACAGAATGAACAGGTGAAATATACCCTTAATCCGTGTGTATATACGTTCCTACCTCATTAACTTCCAAACAGGAAGAAATACTGAATAGGGCAATGTACAATGCCCACTCTCGTACACAGAACATCTAACATTGACAAAGTTAAATATACAGGAAATACACGAGCCTGGTGCACGCAGGCACCTCGCCCGTACTACAGTTGTTAAATAGGATAGGAATCATAACATTAGTCTCTCGGGCAACAAAAACAAACCCCACAGCTTTTACAACAAATAATTCTTAGCTCATTATTTCCTAAATATTTTCAGTTTGGTCCGTCTTTGAAAAGTATCGAAAGGACGCCTTGGCGAACCCACAGAAGCAAGAAAATCTTACCAAAAAACCTCCACCTCTCTCACAGAAGCCCCATTTCAATAACAGAACACCCCACCCACACACACAGACTCACACACACAGACACACACACAGACACACAACACACACACACACCACACGCAACAACACACACACTCAACACACACACACACATACACACACACACAAAGGCCCTCACACAGACAGGCCTTACATCATGTTATCTCACATACACCACTGGAGCATCCACCATCTCTTCTCTTCCTTACTACAATCATCTCCAAGTACTCATCACTCACCTCCGGAAACCAACCCCTTGCTGCCTTTCCCCGGCACCAACTGTAGGAGTCGTGCCACAGTCAGTCCCCGATAACTCTCCGGAAAAAGAGCAACCCACTGACCCCCATATAAGCTCCTATTCTTACCCATCGACCTATAAAAACTCGCCGCTAAGGCCTTGATCCTGACATTACCCCCCACCTCCCTCATTCCCCAAGAAACATACAAAAAATCAACCATGATATACCTTAACGCCCTCGCTACCTCATTAGACACTCCTCCCACGTCTAAAAGTGAAGCCCTAAGGACCCCCCTTCCCCCCCAATAATCCAAAAACACCCCTCAACCACACCCTTACATTTTCCAATAAAGGACAAAAGTACACCACATGGAAAGCATTTTCCACGTCACCACAGTCACCACAATGCACACATGAAGCATCACTCACATATCCCATCTGCCTCAACACCTCTTTTGACGCCAATATCCCCATGAGGAATCTGTAGACCACTTCTCTCACCCTTGCAGGCATTCTTAGCTTTCGAAATTCCTCCCATATTACCCTCCAATCATATGTGGGGAAGACAGCCACCCCTTGCAGCGTCTCCCGAAAATACTCAACTCCCACCAGCCTCCCTATTCGCAAATGACACACATCTCGCACTCTTAACATATACCTCAACATATCCTCACACACCTCCAGGTCCCTCCCACTCCACCAACAACGTAAGTCCCTCATCACCTCCCCCACACGCCGCCCCCAGACCCCCCCTCACTGAGGTATCTCACCTTGACGTATATTGCCCTCACCCTGGGCCCCAATGCCAACAAACCCAATCCCCCCTGATGCACCCCAGTCATTACTACGTCACGTCCCAACCACGCCCTCCCATAACCCCATATATACCTTAATGCCCTCCTCTGGATGTCTGTTACATCACAATTTCTCAAGGGATATACTGCCGCCGCTCCCCAAACCTTACTGTATACCAACGAATTCACAATCACAGCCCTTTGGTGCAATGTAACATCTCTGGCCCGATGGCCACGTAGCCTACCCACTGCCCTGTCCCTAACTGCCTCTGAATTAATCTTTCTACTGTCCTGCCTGTCTGCTGTGTACCAAATCCCACAAATCTTAATCCGTTCCACGACATTCCATCCAAACCCCTGACCCAATCTCCCGCCTACCCAGGTGCCCACCCCTGACAACATCGACTTGCTTTTGTTTACCCTCATTCCTGTTACGGCCCCAAACTTCTCGATGACTCTACCCACCCTTGAAAAATCCTCCCTTCCACTAAGTAAGATCGTCGTATCATCAACGTAACCCACAACCCCCCCCCCGTCATTCCCCTCAATCCCCTCCCCACACAACTCTCGGTCTACAAGCTCATAAAATGGGTTCTGAACACAAGCAAATAATAGCTGTGAAAGCGGGCAACCCTGCTGCAAACCCCTCTCCATACGAATCCCAGAACCCAACCTACCGTTCAACTGCACACGCATGATCGCCCTCGCATACAATGCATCCACCCACCCTACCACCTTGGCACCAAAACCCAGATCACACAAACTCTCACGCAAAAACACCCTGTCCACACAATCATATGCATTCTCCCAATCTACCCCTAGAACCCCCCCCCCCTCCACAGCCCTCTAAGAAATCCCTTATGCACCCGTGTCCATCCCGCATACTCCTCCTTGGAATCCCAAACTGACCGTGTAAAAGCGATCCAAGAACCGCCTTCATTCTATTCCCTAGAATCTTTGCGAACACCTTATAGTCTGCGCACATTAAGGAAATTGCCCAGAAAGCACTCAGCGCCCGCGCCCCTTCCTTCTTTGGTACTAATACTACTATGCCTGTACGTTGTGACTCACCCATTCTCTGTCCATCTAGCATATTTTTCAAAACCCCAACTAAACAATGCCTCATGCACCCCCATGAGCCCTATAAAAATCAATAGGCAAACCGTCAATGCCTGGCGCCTTACCCATGTGCATGCTGAAGACCGCGTCTGCCACCTCAGCCTCACTAATATCAGCCTCCAACCCCACCCTATCCTTTTCTCCTATAGCATTATGAACCCCCCTACCGAAAGACGCCTGCCAGGTGCCCCGCCTCCCACACTCTCTCCATTTTCTCCTGAACCATTTACCTGCATAAATGCTCATACTCTCAGTGGAGATGAGGACCACACCTTCCAGGTAATCCCCCACCCCGGCACTAGTCTCTAACTGCAATAACGTGGTCACTCTCCTACGCTCCTTAAACTTACGCAACACATACCCGGTCGGTTTATCCCCCCACAACACATCGTCCAACCCTGAACGAAAATGTATCGCGTCAAAACGTTCATTATGAATCTCCTCAATCCTACCTCGAAGCAGTGCTATATCTTTCCCCTCCCCACCCCCTCTCCCGTAACATGCCTGCAACTGTCCCTCCAAATAATTCTGCAAACCATATCTCCATCTCGCTTCCTCACGGCCCTTGACCCTATAAAAATTCGCGATCCCAGGTTTCACCCGCAACTCCCACCATTCTACAGGCTCCATAGCCCGATCCCTAGCTCCCCAAAACCAATTCCACCACTCCTTAAAACCCGTTCCTCCCCCACTTCCCCCTGAGGAGCCGCACATTCAACTTCTAATAGCCGGGGTAAATATGCACGGCACCTTCCCACGACAGATCCACTATCACAGCCCTATGGTCCGAGAAACCCACATCAAAAGTCTGCACCCTCCCGACCTCCAATCCCTGCATGACGTAAATCCTGTCTAGTCTTGCAGCATACCCCCTGCGAATGAACGTGTGCTCCACCATATAACCTCCTCCCCCTGCAACATCTACGACACCCACGTCCCTCAACACATCCCTCAGAACACTTAATACACAACCCGCCCCCCTCGGTTCAACATCCTGGCCCCGAATTACACAATTCCAATCCCCACCAATAATCGTGATGGTAGGCAATTCCCGCAGATGGTACAATAAGTCTTCCCTCACAAAATCCACTTTTACCCTTGTGTTGCTCGACGCCGGCACATACACTCCTATGAAACATGCCCTTCTATCACCCCATACACCATCTACCCGCACAACCCCTTCCCCCTGCCTCCTCCCAGCCCGTGACACGCAAGGGGTTGGTCTTCTTTATCGCTATCGCCACCCCCCCCTTTCAACTGCCAAGCACAACTAACGTACAACT